TAGCTGGCACCAACTCTGTCCCACAGGTGGGAACTGCAGGAATTGTATACCCAGCCTGGGGAGGGCAGAAATAGCAAATGTTAAGTAACAGTTACTGGTTCACTACTGTCACGTTGCATTTCTTTGCCCACACTCCTGCTGTTCCATCCCCACGGATCCCCCAGATCTCCCCTGGATATCATTTTAGTGCTCAAGAATTCCCATCAAAAGCACATCAAGTCCTCTCTCAGATAGCTGTAGGAAGGATCACTAACAAAGAGCAGCACAAACACAGAACATTATTCTGCCATCCTATAAAGACAAAGCAATGAGGTATCTGCACATGGCAGGTACTGAACACTACAGTCAGGAAATTTTAAAATGAAGTGAGAAGCAGTCAAAATACTGATCAAAAATTATGCAGTTAAGATTAGGTCTCTGGACAAGTCAGGAAAGAAAAATCAGAACAACCCAAACTTCTGTAAATCAGCTGATTTTATGCATTGTTTATTCAAAAAATTTGAATAAAACAAAAACTTTTATGCCACAAGCACGCAGGCACCACCAACTTCTTTGATTTTCTCTTCTGCTCTTCTACTGAAGAACTTTGCTTTCACAATGACAGGTTGCTTGGGCAGCTTCCCCTTGCCCAGCACTTTGTAGTAGCCCTAGAAAGATTTAAAACAGAAATTCAGTGTTTGTAATCAGCTTGCAGGATCCTGCATTTAGGCCTGTTAGCAGACAGCACTGAAAAAAAACCCATGATCACCTCATCCAGTCAATTCATTACATTATAAGGACAATCATGACATGAAGACAATTAACAAAACAGCTGCTAAAGTCACTGGAAGTGAGAAGTGGGCCCCAAGTGGCCAAGAGGGAGGCAGAACATCAGCACCTGGCAGAGCAGTGTCTCTGATTCGGTGACTGGCTGAGACACAGGACATCAGAGCCAGTGAATATGGATCAGACATTTCTGTCCGAGAACTATAGCACACCAAGACAACCAAACATGTGGAGATGTGACTCTAGTCTCGAGGGTGGACAGGGGACATGGTGTGAGACTGGCTCCACCATGGCTTTGTTCCTTCAGGAACATTTCAAACAAGCCATCTTTCACCACCTAGCCAAAGCAGGGCAGTGCCTGTCTACAAACACACACCAGTATGAGAAAAACTTCTTACAGGGCAAAAAGTAACAGCCAAAGTTCTTCTGGAACTACTCACAGCCCAGGGATCTGTCTGTCTGGTAACCTCAGAGCACTAGAGCTTATTTGCAGCTCAGCCTTTCCCCAGGGGGACAGGCACAGCTCAGGCACCCATGGCAGAGCAGGAATGGCAGGGCCGAGTCCCAGCAGGAACTCACCGAGCGCACCACGTCGATGACCGGGGCCAGGCCGGCCTCGTTCTTGGCGTAGTTGAGCCTCGTCTGTTCACTGACCAGGGTCCACAGCTTGTCCAAGTTGACAGTGGGACAGAACTTCTGGTTTCTCTTCAGGTGATAGTGTCTCATGCCTACTTTCCCAAAGTAACCAGGGTGACTGTGGAACAAACACATTCTGCATTAGATCACATTTTTAATTCACCTTGAACAAGCAGAACTCTAAACTACCACTGAAACAAGCATCTTACAAAATCAAAATCTCCAAAATGGCATTAATATGTGTAGAATTTAGGTGTAATAATGATTAGTATCCAAACCAAGGAAAAATTACATTCTCTGTAAGTGTTTCTTCTCCCTTCAACTCCCAACTCAATTCCCCTCACTGCTGAGTCTGCATTTCCAAGGAAGCCCCAGCTCCAGGACCCCAGGCAGGGCAGCCCTGCCTGGGAAATTCTGGCACTGCTGTCACTAACCCGGTGACTGACTGAGCCAGGGAGGGCACAGCCAGTGAATAGAGATTAGTGGTTCCTGTCCGAGGACTCCAGCACACCAGGACCACAGGCAGGGCCAGATGTGACTCTATAGTCTCGGGAATCAGGTAACATCCCTCACCTTCAGCTGATGCAGCCCACAGGAAGGATGCAGTTTGGATTTAACATCGCATTCTGAATTTGCTCTGTGGTCCCTGCTAAGCAGGGACTACACTGTGAACAGGCAAACTTGGTCAACTTTACCTAAAGCTACACTGAACTCTCCAAGATGCCAAGTGAAAAGCCCTTTGATCTTAGGTAAGTGGAGACATGAGCAGCTATAATGCCACACTTCCCATTAAAGGAAAAAACACACTGGATTACAGGAAATTGTTTATATACATATAAAAGTCAGTTACTTCTACTTCAGGAGCATGCATGTGGCTACTATTTAAAATGTTAGCTTACTATTTATCAAAGTTAATCCTGTGATGGTGCAAACCACCGGCATTACCACGTCCTCCAGGATGCTTCCTGTGTTTGCCTGAGAAGAAAAATTTTAAGCTTGTTACATTAATATTACACATAATACTTAAAAGATACTTTCAATGCCAACTTAAACTAATTATTTTGTCTTGTGGTGTGACAAGGTTGGAATGCAGAGCTGAAAGGGAGCCTGCACTGCCCAGGAAATTTAAAATGTCGCATAGCCAGTACTGATCGGCTGAGCAGCCTGAAGTTACAAATCCGGCGAGTCTAAAACGTGCAAGACTTGATCAGCCATCACCGTGGCAGCTGCCCCGCACGCTGCGGCCTTCCTTCAGCACTGCTCGCTACTTCCCACGGTGCCGGCGGGCCCCTGCCCCCACAGCCCCATTTCTGTGGGATCCGGGAAGAGCAGCAGCATCCCCTCAGTGATGGGGAAGGCCCGGCGGGGCCGCGCCGCCTCAGGGCCCGGCGGGGCCGCGCCGCCTCAGGGCCCGGCGGGGCCGCGCCGCCTCAGGGCCCGGCGGGGCCGCGCCGCCTCTGCACTCACCCACGCGGCCGTGGCCGTGGCTGACGTGTCCTCTCAGCTTCCGAGTCTTCCTTAGCCTGGAAGGCTGCGGGGAAAGGGGAGAGCAGCCGTGAGCGAGGCGGGCAGCCAGCGCCAGGAGAACCCCGCGCCCGCCCCGGGGCCCGCGCAGCCCGGCGCCATGGCGGACCGGCCTCACCGCACCGCTCCCGCCCGCCGCGGGCTCGGAGCCGCGCCTCCCCACCACCCTCCGTTACTCCGCGGTCCCGTCTCGCCGCATGAGCGAGGGGCGGCGGCCACGGGGTCCCAGTCCCGATCCCATCCCGTCCCATCGCATCCCCTCCCAGCCCGGACGCTGCTCCCACCATCTTGCCGGCGTGCGCGAGGGAGAGAAAGGGCGCGGCTCTCGCGAGAGCGGGCAAAGGCGTGGGGGGCGGTGCCGAGATCTCGCGAGACTTCGCAGAGGCGGGAGCGGCGGGCGGAGCTCTGAGGGGCGGGCACAGCGCCCCGTCCTTTCGCGGCGCGGAAAAATGGCGTTTTGACAAGAATTGAGGGAAATTTGCAAGTTTGGTCACTTTATTAAACAGCAATAACGGTGGGAAAATGAACACTACGTCCTAAAACACAATTATTTGTCACTCTGGAGTGTGAATTCCTAGTGTGCTACTGTTTCTTAAGCTTGGTTTCTAGGGTTTTTTTTAAATGGGTTTTATGCTGTTAAGATCTTAAACAAAACTTTACAAATCTTAAAACACAGGCCTCAGTGCTGGATTTATTGTTCTTTAGAATTTTCCTAGTGCACTTAAAACGTTCCATGCTCAGGAACACCTTTAGTTTTAACTAATTAGTAGGGGAAATAATGCACTCCTTGGTTTTTGTTCATCTGGTCCCCTCAATCAGACCTCCAGCTAACACAAGGATTGTTTTACATAGCTGTAGTCTGAAAAAGCCACCTACAGATTTTCTTGGGCCGTGATCTCACCTTGTCCAGTGGTATCCTCTGGTTCACAGTACAAAAGTGGGAACATGTTGACAGATAACACAGTGTTTAAAAGCTTTCTCCTTCAATTTTTAAAGTGCAAATGGAGGAAAGCAGCTTTGGAGCAGGAGATGGGTTTTACAGCACAACATTCTTGTACACTGGCATTCCTTGGCTTTGTCTTGCCTTTGCAGTAACTCCACAGCACGTCCTGATAGAGTTTTATCATCATCATTTTCTTAAGAATTATGTATTTCCCCCTACATTTACTAGCAGTTGCTGTGTATAAAAAGCCCAGAAACCACCTGTACAAATTACGTTATTCTTTCCACTCTCAAGAATTATATCTAGAAATCATTCTGGAACTTGGAGCATATTACAGAACTAAAAAACTAATGGAAGTTATCAGTTGTGGTGGCATTTCCCCTGAATCAAAAGCACCCAGTGTTTTACAAACATTTTGTGTACACTTAAGAAGCTTTGGTGTATTTTTGAATGTGAGGGAGGTAATGGAAAAAGGAAACGACTTCACCTTTTTAGTAAGTAGCCCCTCGAATTTGCTCTATGAGGCTGATAGCAAACCAGAACCACTGCCAGGTTAGGAACTGCGCAAGCCTCAAAGCTGCTCTAACTACAGCTGCAAATGATGAAAGCCAGATTGTGCTGGGGTTCCTTTAAAGCTAAGAGGATTTAGATAATTTTCATTATCTGTCAGACTTGCAAAATATTGAAGCATTTTATATATTTTTTAGTATTTTCTTCTTCAGGTTATGGGAAAACTTATAGAACCTCAACAGTTCTGTTTCCAGATGAAGGAAGAATGTGACACTTGAGCACCACGCACAGCACGAAGCCAACTGAAAATACCATAAGTCAGGAGCAGTATCTGTGATACAATGATAAATAATTTGCTGCAAACACATGAAAAAATGTTTTAACAGATGCTTCTGTTAGGATACAATTTTTTAAAAAGGAGTATAAAATGCCTTGTCTTAGCCCTGGTGAAGAAACCCCAAACTACATGTCATGAAATAGCAAACCTACCAAAAGACAGGTTCGTGATAACCACTTTACATTTTAATTACAAATTCATTTAAAAATCACAGGCAAGTTGCTGGGTCTGTACCTGCTCCACATGAGGAAGTGCAGAGGTTTGCAATGAATATAAACAAACAGGTCTATTTACAGAGTTTATTAGGATCCATACATACATACATTAGGAAAGGCTGTACTGTACCTACTCGCTGCAGCTTGCAAGTCAGAGAGCTGAGATCCCCCCAGGCTTAGCAGTCTTAGTGCAGAATGGGTTATAAGGAGTTTACTGACCAGAGTTCAAACCAAGTGGAGGTTCTGTCACGTGAACCAAGTACCTTATTATCAAGTTACTTTGTTATTTCTGCTTTAAAATTCATTTGAAGGAAACAAGCAGCCAGACAAGCGCCTGTGCCACACGAGAGCGGCCCCGTGTGTACAACCTCTCCCACGTACCCGAGCTCATTCACCCGCAGCGTTCAGGCATCAAACATCCCTTGAAGTCAGTGGTTCTGCCGAGACAGTCAGCTGCACATAACCAGCTACTCGTTTTTGCACCAAGCATAACTCAACTCATACTAAAGAAAAAAAAAAAAAACAAAAAACAAGCACCTGGTATTCTCAGGAATATACAAATATTTACCACAGTTTTCTCGCTCATTACAAAATCAGTTACAAAAGCTTACAGCACATTATGTACAAACTCTACCCAAATGCACGGAGGAGCCGTGGCGTGGCACAGTGACACAGCATCCATGGGCCATGGCCTGGAGCTGCTGTCAGCTCGCTCCTCTCCTCCCGTTCCGCACTCCAGCGCCGCAGGTGTCTCACACAGTGCCATCAATAAATAGGCTTTGGTGTTTCAGCAGGAAGGAGCTAGTTCTTCTTGTGGAGGAACTTCATTTTGTTACCTACAGGAAGCACACTGTCAGTCCCCAGCAGATATCGGAAGTCAATCAAAAGTGACAGCAAATGGCTCTAACTTGTAATTGCTGTGGGGTAACTCTTGCACTCGGCACCAGCAGGGAGAGCTGAGCTACAGAGCACCGACTGCTCCCACACCTTCCTGTCCCACTCCTCCATCACGGCTTGGCTCCCCCACCCCCCAGTGAAAACGTGTTAACAAAGACCATAATTAAATCTGGTTTTATCACTTTTAACTATGTTTTCATTCATTTCTTTTTAGTAATTCCTATCACGCTGAAAACACTTGACTACCTCATTTCGGGTACGGCATTTACAAATTAATAAAAAATAAAAAAAAAAAAAACAACAAACCAAAACCCACCACCACCACGAAAACTCATTTCAGAAATACTTCCGAAGATTTTCCTCACCGAGACCTCGCAGGAACTTGTTCACTCCGCTTTGCTCCGTGTCCGGGAGCTCCTCCAAGTACTGTTCCACCCTCTGCTCGAAGAGCCCTGCGGCGGACAGACAGGGACCGGGGTGAGCCGTGCCCGGCTGAGCCCGCAGCCCAGCTCCAATCCCCGGCATTCCCCGCTCCCAGCCACCTTCCGGCTCCGGGCAGGATTTTCGGGATGCGTTTCCGCTTTCCCGGGGAGCGCACGGGGATCCCGGGCGTTGCCGCAATCCCGGCGGAGCAGCGAAACCCGCGCCGCAGGGGAGGCACCCAGCCTTACCTTTAGCCCTGCATTTCCTCAGCTCTCTGTCCTGGATGAAGCCAGCGAACATTTGGGATTCCATGAAAACTTCCAAGAAGCGGCGGATACTCTTGGAGGCCACAGATTTACGGAAAGCCTCCCTTTGGAAGGCACGCTCTCCTTTTTCATTCTGGGTTAGGAACAGGGAATAATGGCCAACTGTCTCCACAAAGAATCGGATAAAAACCTCAGACACTAATCCATTCAGGGTGTTACATTCTGCAAAATAAGGCGGCAATAAGACACCACAATCAGCTGCTACCAGAGCTGTGAGCATTATCCCCACAGGGCCAGGCTGTCCATGTTCCTGTTCCCTGATGCCGTGCTAACATCTGGCAGGAGTTGCAGCGGCTCCCTGCACAGCTGGATGCAGGTGCAGAGGGTGGCAGCGCCGTAACCACGGGTGCCAGCCTGCAGAATTGGTGTTCCCTGACCAAGAGTCAGCGAGAATTACAAATCCTCAGGAAACAGCTCAGAAAATTAAGCATTTGATGGGTGTTTCATCAACATCAAACCTCCTGTTTTCACTCTTGAGCCAGTTCTCTTCAGAAACTTGTGAATGACTCAGCATTAAAATATTTCTTCCTGAGGATAATAAGCCTGTACCAAAAGCTGATCAAAAAGGGTCTGTTGTAAAATTTGGGTTTTCATGGTTTCGGAGATGTTAAATCAGTCTTATATAAGTAATACATATGACTAGAAATAAATTTCAAACACTGAATAGGGGCCTGTTTCATGCCTTTTAACCACAGGCATCTCAATTCACCCTGGGCTGTTTTTATCACTGCTGAAGAGAAATATGAACTTTCAAGGCAACCCAACCCCTCTTGGACTAAAATTCTTTTCTGGTAGTACCTGCTTCTCTCCCCTGAAAATACCAAGTGCCAAGAGCAACTCCAAACTCAGACACACCCCGAAGGCTGGAGAATTATCTGGATTGAGTTAGGGCCAAGTTAACTGCAAACCTCTGTTTGAGGAAAGGTTCAGAGGGACCCACGGGAGCCCATGTCACTTACAAAGAAATTAAAATAAATCACAGGGGAGGTATCACTGTGGGCTGATGCCATCAGTCTCATTCCCTGTGTGCTCAGAGACCCTTTGATGTCACCAAGAGTATTTGAGACCTCAGGTCCCATCTTTGTTTCTCCTGCATGGAAAATCACAATTTTACCTATGTTTGTTTATTACACAAGTCCCTGTTTCCAAATGAACTTACCATCATCTGAATCACTATCTGAATCCTGATTTATCAGTTCATTCTTTCTCTCTAGAGCCTGCTCCAGAGCAGCTTGCAATTTTCTAGGTAATAGTGTGTCTTCATCATCCATCTGAGAGAGGAAAGAAAAATCTTTAAGCCACAATACTCTATACAGGAACTACAGCAAATACTTTCAGAAGGTTTAGAATTCAGATGAAAAATACTTGTATCTGGTACTGTCATGGCTACATAAATTAAAGAATGAGAATCTATGTGCAACTAACAAATACTTCTAAATAAAAAATTTCTTGTCACTCTTAAGATTAAAGTCGGGAGTGAGAATCCAAAGAGCAGAAAAGCACAGAAATGTGGAATCAGCTCTTTACATGACAAAGAATCTGAATAGTTGTGTTTAACTAAATACACGTCATGTGAAGCCTTGATGGGTGTACACACAGCTGCTGTAGTGGGTTTTAGGCAGCTCCTTTGGTGTTTGACAGTTGTTTTACTGTTTTGTAGCCTATCTTGTTTTCTGGGTCTTGCCCCTGTTGCTCTCTTCATCCTATTTTATGCTTGTTCAGCAGAAGCCAAGCAGGCACAGGAGCCTTAGCTCTGCAGCCACTGTTCACCAGACAGGGAATTGAACAAAAAAGTTTCCTCATCCAACCTGCAGATTGTTGGTTTGAAATTATTTAGTGCCACATAACTGTCAGGAGATGGTGATCCCTCATCTCCTTGTTTACAAGGCTCCTGCTTTTCCTATCACATTAAACTATTCTCCACCTTTGTGCTCTCACTTGGGAATTTTCTTTGCTATTTTTGTCCTTTTCACCTCCAACAGTGCAAGTTTTCTTGCTAAGTTGATGTGATTATCTTTGGTTGTTTTCTTCCCACTGTGAATACAGTTCTTGATTCCTTCTGACAGTCACAGCCTCAATCCCTTCTGCAGACCTGAGAAGTTCTTATTTGCAGGTGGAACAGAAAATGAGAACTTTTTTTTTCCCCTCATCACTTTCCCTTTGCACACACAATTCCTGCCAAACCCCTCTGATCAAAGAAACCCAATCCCACTGTAGGAGTAAACAGCTTGCTGGACTGCATGGCAGCATTCTGAGCTGTGCTTTACCTGTCTGATGAATCGATCAGATCCCAGGTTAACCATCAAAGCCTACAGAAAAGAAAACACTGCAGTGAAATGTATCTGAAGAGACAGAAAACATTCATTTGTTCATCGCTTTTTAACAGCAAAAGATCATCTGCTGAACAAGCCTCGACATGAATCAAATTCCTACTGTGAAACAAGAGGTTGTGTGCTTTATGAAACAACATGAAGGTTTTCTTTAGAGTTACAAGTCTAATTTAACATAGATACAACAGATCTCATACTAGCTTAATATATTTTAAAAAAGCTAAAAGGGTTTCTTCGTAAATCTAAGCAAGTTATAACTAATAATTTTTGTTAACATGCAGTTGGAAAGTGTTTCAGAGGGGTTTAAAGAAAACGGTGTGGAGGCAGCAGGGATTCCAAAGGGTAAGGGTATGAAATATTCATGATAACAAAGCAGCAAAGCTGAGAGATGGAGCTGGGAAGATGTGGAAGAGCAATGTTAGGAAAGAGGAAGGAAAATCGAGCAGAGATTTACGTGGCCCAGAGGCACACAGGGCCTTGGAAGTGAGCACAAAAAATTCCTTAGAAAAATGGCAGGAAACTAATAGGAGCAAGACAGAAAAGCGTGTGTCCTTGAGTATTTTTGTGGTATTTTACTGGAAGAGCCCATGAAGTGCAACTCTCATTTGATTTCCAATAAAGTATCAACAAAGTCTTAGAAGTTAAAATTGTTAAAGGTTTTGTTTCCTTTGTGGGCTATGGCTTCATGCACCACTTCCATAAGGATTAAGAGATGCCATGGCAGATGGCTTCCTCTTTTTCCAGAACAAAGCAGCATATTTACACCCTACTTATTGGTGACAAGGTAAATACTCACTTGGCTCTGACAAGGTGCCAGGTATGGAAGAGGGGCAGAATAAAAGAGAAGAATAAAGCTACTGCTGCAGTTTTGCCAAGAGGGAGTTGCTCATGAGAACCAGGCAAAGAAACAAAGAGGCAGATTAAAAATTAAACGTGAGGATTTATGTCCCAATGGCAGCCCAATCCTGGGAGAGGCCAGCTTTACTCCAGGAAAACAATTGTGGTTCCAGCTCCTACCTCCTCTACGGGCAGGTCCTTGAGTTTGGGCAGAGAGCTGGAGAGCAGTCCCACCAGGAAGGGGGTAGGGCAGCACACGATGTCAATCATGGATGAGGGCAGGACAGGAATGAAGGTGTGCTGCCAGGAGAAGGGGTACAGCAGGGCCACTACAGCGTGGGAGCAGCTCGACAGGGTGCTGGGGAGAGAGGAACAACCAGGTCAGCAAAGGCTTTTCTTGGTTCACAACACCTGCTGAGAAACTCAGCCTGGTGAAATACAAATGCCCAAGGTGCTGCCTGTCTGGCATTTGTGACTTCTGGCAGCCTTGGTTCCCTTCCAGTCCCTGCCCTCTCTGTACTGTGCAGTGTGGCAGTTCACAGCAGACTTCAGACTAAAGGGACAAAACCGGAATCTGTTTCAAACTAGAATCCATTTGTTCCATAACAGTCAGGGGATGGTTTGATCTAGAAGTCAAGATGCAATGTTCCCAAAAGCACCCAAAAGCAGCCACTTTGAACAATGCTTAAAACCCAAAAGCAATGTCAGATCTTGGCTGTTATGACCACATCAATAGTCATAAGAATGTATAATAGTAATGTTCTTAAATCAAGCACTAATGCAGGAACAAAGGAAAATGAAAAGTAAAATAAAATTGGGAAAAAAATCCTTGTGGAAAACTACCAAATCAGATATAAAAAGCCCCAACAAGCAGTACTTATTCCAAAGGAAAGCTGGTAAAAGCAACACGTTTTTCAAAGATTGCGCATTTTTTTGACAACAGCATATTTTTATTATAATACATTTTACAGGGCTTATCAACCAACTTTAGTGATAAAGGTATTGTTCCTGCTCAGCAGAGTATTCTAAAATACAGATTGGTATCTCCTAACTGTAAAGCTTGATATTATCATGGAAAAAGTCATGCATATGTTGTCTTTCCATCTACTGAATCTGATTCCCTTTTGCAGTCACATGGTTTCCAAATGTTAAAAATTAAGGAACATCATTACCAAGTGAGTTTTAACATCAGGGGAATGAAGACAAGCTCTCCATATCACAGCTACAACGTCTGCCTCTCGCAGGCTGAGATGACAGAAATTTGGATCCAACATGCCTGAACCAATTTTCTCACATTGCAAACTTCTGCTGTGCTTAATGTAGCCACAAAGAACTATAAATAACAACTGCAGAGCTGTTACTGCTTTAAAATGCTGGGGAGAGATGCTAATTTCTTCTACTGCAAGACTTGGTGGAGACTTTAGGTGGCATCAGACCTCCACTAGAATAACCTTCCATGAGCATTTTTACTTCAGCTGTGGATTGTTCCAAGGCCAGAGAAGAGGTTTCACCTGTTTGTTCCTGTCAGTGATTTACCTTCAAAGTTTGCTGAATGACAAAAGGGAGATTTGGGGAACAAAGAGAGAAAAAAGTTGGGGAAGAGCAAATCGTTGTGTTTTACTGCAAATAATCTGCTGGCTTGGTTTTAATTGACACTTCCTTTAAGATCTCACAATCCCAGCATGGGTTTATAACATATGTTGCCTGACACGAGGTTCTTGTAAAATGATGCATTTCTCCAATTTATATTTTTATATATAACAGGCAGTGGTGCTGCCATTGCCTCACATTTTGGTCTCAAGCATCGACATAACAAGCACAGTGGTGTGTTTTGGAAGAGCTGTGGAACATGGTACACACTGCCAGCACTTTCTCAAGATCACTTCAATGTCTCCCTGGCATTTTCACCTACTACAAATTCCGTCATCTTAGCTGAGCAACTAAAAAAAGAGCCATGTTAAGCTAAAAGCAGGAAGACAAACATTCTTCTGCTCTTCAGTGAGTATTTTTTTCCTTTCTATAAAATGCCCTTTTGTAACATGTTGTTTTACACGCAGTGCTGTGACGTAAGTCAGCCCCTGCATCCTCTTCTGTGTGCTATTCCCACGCTAGGGGAGGCTTCAGGCTCCAGCCCAGGACACTGGAATCCCTTCCCGAGCTTTCCTGGGATCCAGCTGGGACAGGGAAGAGCAGAGCACAGGGAGCAGCCCTGGTGGGGGTGTCCTGTGGCAGCACCCAGCTCTGCCCTGCCAGCACCCCACAAAAAGTCACATCAGCACCCTGTCAGTACCTCGGCCTCTGCACTTCAGGATTCTGCACACAGCTCTTCAAATTCAGCCTCAGAAAATCTTTCCTTGTGGGACATCTCATCCCCATGAAACATTCTCTCCAAGCTTTCAGCCCCCAGAACCTTTTGCTGCCATCCCTCCTGGACACCCCTCTGCAGGACTGCCACCACTGTCACCAAACTCCTGCTTGTACAACGTGCCCGTGTCTCTGCCTGGAAAGATTCATATTTAGAATGGATACACATCTTTCACTTCTGTGAAATTTCACAGTTTGTAAGGTAAAATTCAGAGGTGATGGGTGTAGAGGAACCCCCAGCCTAAATCTCTACAATACAGTTCAGAACCTTTTAAAGGGATATTATTGATGAGAAGCATGTTTAGTAAGGTAAAAAAAAGAAAGGGCTACCCTGGGAAACCAAGTCTGCTTCAGTTTTTCCTCTTAAAATGTGCAACCCACACATTATCCAACTGTTCTTGTTTATGAGAATTAAGCAGTAAGGTCAGATGGTTTATTTTCTTTAAGGTGTGTGAAGCACACAAAGTAAAGCAATAGAATAGTCAAAGCTAGATTTTCAAAATATTCTCACTTTTAATACTCTAGGGCAGTTCCAGAGAGCTGGTTTGGAGAGTGAGCTTTTCCATTTGGTCTGTGCAGTTTTACAAGAATGCTTCATAATGTTCTAGCTGCTGTTCTACTGGAAAACACTTGTTTATTTCCATGGTTGTCATCTTGAAAAAATTATTTGGAATTTGCCAAAGCTTTGGGTCTCTCTATGTCTTGATTCACTAGATAAAAAAAAACCCTTCAGGTTTTTATCTTCTTGTATTAATAGAAGATTATACAAGTATATTGAGACATTTCTTAATGACAAATTTCTCTTGAAGAGATCCCTTATCTTGTTACAGGCAAAATATGACGTTGCTTCTTTCTAACTCAAAGTTGATTTATGTTCCCCTGGGATATTTTGTTCCCCAAAATTTTCTCATGATAGCACACAGAACCTTTTCCTTGTGTTGCTGGCTGCGGAGACACAATTTCAGATATAGCTGTGACTCAGCTGAATTTTGGAGACTGCTTCTGAACACAGTTTAAGTCTACATCAAAAAGCAAATCACTGTGACTTAACAAGAACCTTTTCTGTCCTTTAGATAGGGAGAATGTCTGGTAGCAACCAACAAATAACCCCAAGCTCAGGCTGTACCCGTATCTTATCACAGCACAGTTAGCACACTCTGAGAAGGACAAGCTGCTGGGCAGGGGATGGACACTGCCCTGGCTGGGATGTCAGTGCTGGCTGCATTTCTTTCAGGGACTTGGCTTGTTGGACACTGCAAGTCACCAACTCTCTCAAATTGCTAAAGTCATATTCGGTTACAGCTTCTGCTCACAATAGAAATATTCCACAGATATCCTTGATAACTCTTCTTTCTAACCATAGTCAACAGTCATATTCCCCCTCCATACCTAGAACTTCTCCCAGGCCCCAGGGAGCCTTGCACACTGAGTATCTCCCAAATCCAGGATTTAGGATTGCTGATTTGGCTCCCTGATCCCACCTTACTATTCACATGCACTTCCACAGTCAGTCTGACATTTCCACTGAAGGAGAAGGCGAGAATATCCCTTCCGTTCCCTTCCCTTCCCTTCCCTTCCCTTCCCTTCCCAACAAACAAGCTTCCTCAGCCAGGAGAGGAGGGAGGCCACCCCTTACATACAGGGCCAAGCCACACAGCAGCTCTGTCACCTGGGCTGCTGCCAGCTCTGTGCTGTGCCAGTGCTCTGGACTGTGCCCTGGACTGGGACCAGCTCACCAAATCTGGGCTCCCTCCTTCCTCACATTAGAGGAAGAAACGTAGCCAAAAATTTAAATTCACAAAAAAAGTGTTTCCACTGTTTACTTTTCCACAACCTTTTTATGCTCCTCATTTCTCCCTGCTGATGAAATGATGTTCTCTGTCCACATTTGCTGAAGTCTTTCATCTGCCCTGCTGACACATTCATGCTCCAGCCCACAGCCACTTTGAGACTGAGTTACCTCCCTGACACACATCCCTTGTCTGCTCAGGAGGGCTTCCTCCCACTTGAGGTTGGAATCTGGAGGCTCTGTCCTTCCCAGGTGTGATCCCTTGACCCACGTGGGTATTACACACCCAGATGTCTCCTCATCTCAGGCCATGGCCCTGCTTTTGTGCTCCTACCCTTGGGCTGCTGATGAACTTCGTAGCAAAACCAGATCCCTGATACTTCCCTCCTACACCCTTCCATGCCTCTCCTGATCCTGGATTAACTCCAGTCTCTGACAGAGGTCTGTGACAGCTCTGCAAGATAAAATAGTCTGAGAGGTTTGCAGAGGACTCTGTAATGAACTCTGGGGAAAGGCCACGGGCCAAGGACTCAGCCCATCTCCCCTCCAACACATACAGGCTTCAGAGGGGGAAAGGAGGAAGTAGAAAACTTGAAAAGCATCAAGTAAAGGGCAGGTGGAAGTGAAAAGCATGGCAGACTGACACACTTCGGGTGGAGATGGAGTGTACTGTTGCAGTAATTCAGAGCAGTACTGTGCTGTGCCAGTTAAAGTGCACTCTAAGGCTCTGAAAAAAATAAAGGTTTCTCTGGGTGCATAGGAATAAATAAGAGCAGCATTATTAATCAGGTTGATAAGACTAAATAATAGTATCAGGGACAAGATATAAATGAAAACTTTTAAGTGTCAGAAGTGACAGTTTCCAAACTGCAGCCGTGTGCAATGAGCTCCTGCAGCATTCCTGCAGGTCAGCTTCTGAAGTGAGCCCTTGGGGATCCCTGGCCCTGGAAAAGCTGCCTGACAATGGGGACATGTTACTGCTTTCTCCCTGCTCCAAAGGATGGGTGCTCAGCTCCAGGACTCCTCCTGATCCCCAGTGCTCTGCTCCTGAGACCCCCTGAACCTCATCAATGGCTTGTCCTTCATTCCCGGGGTTCTGTGCTATGAGAGTACATTTTTTGTTAAGCCACATACCACCAACTAGTCACCAAAAATGGCAGAGAGGAAGGAAACAAGAATCCAAGAGTTCATTTGCTGTAATGGTG